ATTTACGTAGGAGCTCGATTCTGTAAGTTAAAGAGTAAGTTGGTCATATGGTAAATGAATCTTCCGGATAGTAAAATATTCTTAGTGAAGTAATTTTGATAGTTAGAATCAGCTTACTTTTTTCCTTGCCGCAGTAAGTTTCACACTCCTTTTTTGTTTCGAAGTTATTTGCGTTGCCCAAACATCCACCGTAAAGAAATTCCTCGCACTTTCTGCTCTGTGCGTTGTAAAAGTATCGTATTTCAGATGTTCGACATGGACCCGTTTCGGCCGGAAGTGTACAAATATCTGAAAAGAGCACTGGCGATTATGTTCCTCACCTCGATTGCCTCCATTATTATTCACCTGTCTGGGCGAAAGAGTGTGCCAAAAACTGTAGTGCCAAAACCAACTGGATCATTTCTTACGCGTTTCCGACTGCGCAATCGACAATGAACGAGCACGCCTTGCCGAACCCTTTTTGAGCAGATCTCATGCAAATAGCTCACTGTATCATCGCCATCTTCTCACTCCCGGCAGATATTCGCCCAAATGTTCACTTCTCTTTCCAACGTGATTCTGCCATCTATAGTCCATTGATTACTGTCAGAAACTCACGAGCATTTGCATAGTTGTCTGAAATCCTCAAACTACCAGAATCAGGTCTCCGTTTTCACGCGTTCTTGATTCTTATTGCTACTCGTTTTCGTTTGCCGTCTTCATGGCTGTATTTCACAAATATAATTAGTGCTCAGAACCTTCCGTGTGTCTTCGTATGAAATTACTAATGATATGATCATACGCTAAAAACCGCACGTTCTTAGTTGCACAACTATGCAGCATAGCTACCTAATCTACAAATAGTCAAAAGTGCATTCGTGGTTTTTGTGAGAAGGTCGGTTTTGAATGATAGCGCACTAACGACCTGTTTAAGTTATGTTAAGATTAATCTTTGGATAAACTCTTAGTCTCTTCAAGAGCTGACTGTTTTTATGTAGAAGACTAATCCAGAAATAAGCATGAAATAGGGGTATGCGGTGAAGAAGTTTTTCGCATGTGACCTGTCGCGGGGTCTTTGCCAACCCGTTGAAATTGACGTCTGCGTTTTGGATGAGTTGAGTAGAGATGCATAAGCGGAGAAGCAAGCTAGTTCATTTTTGTCTCGCTAATTAAATTCTCACCAAATTTTGTTTTCATTGGATTAAAAATGGACGTTAGTTGGAGTAAATGAGCATAAGCTTAGTCTGGAGGAAGCTGGTACCTATGCTGAAACGTAAAAATTATGTCTGTTTTGCGGATGAAGATGTATGAGAATCATCCACTTTGTACGTCAAGTTAGATGTGTCTTCAATACTGATAAATTTTGGAGATATCTTTTGCGAACATAAAATACTGAGTCGTAATTTAAGGCGCCTTCAGTCTGACACTTGTACCGAGACGAAGTCAGGTGTGGCCAAACGCGCTTCCTTGGGATGTTGACAATGAGATAATATTCAGATGTGGAGGTTATACATGAAATAAGTAAGGAACTTGAATAAGCAGTTGTTAATAATTCAACGGCAGTGATAGAAGAGTGCAGCGTATTAGTCACTAGGAGAGTTGACTCTAGAAAATCATGTAAAGCTGAGGGACAGCCATGTGACACTGCCATCAAACAAGCATTATGCCACAATCGAACGAGCTGCAGCAGTCCCAAACCCGGTTGAGAGTGAAATGGCGGCGTTCGATACGCAAAAGTAAAAATAAGTGGAGAAGCAAAACATGACCTCTATAAGTTAACCCCTACAATGAATGTTACAATTTGCGCACTGGTGAACTAGCTAAACAGTTACCGCGACGACCAAAGTCACAAATGAAGAAATAGCATTGCTCAAGACGAGTTAAAAGTGTCTATATAGCTACTTGATACCTTTGAACATTGAAAGGACGAGTTTGGCGCTAGTAAAAGCGCTGTGAAATTGAGTTTCAACGAGTTTGCTTCCAAGAATCGAAGTAGAAAGATGAGAACAAAGGATGTAAGGCAAGGTTAAACTATATAAACTTGTATACGAAACGAAACTTATGCGAAACTCCATTCAGAAGAAATGGATTTCGGTTATCCTGAATGAAGCTATGAAAAGGGAGGAATTTGTGGTGAATGAATTGCCGATGGAAGCACGACACGTGTGTAAAGCTGATTCTGAAAAGCGAAATATTGAATATCATAGGTGCTTGATTTCGTCAGGCGGAAAAAAAGTTTCGTATTTTTCCAGTTGAAAAACAAAATTCTGGAAAAGCATGGATCTCGTACTTACAAGCGTCGTGCGAAACGATATCGTTTTAATGGGCGATTACTTTAATAGCCGCGTCGGGAAACAGCAAATTTAATATAGCAGAATCCCTTGGGGACATGGACATGGTAAATTAAATAAAAATGGATAGAACAACCGACAAACATCGGCAGTAGCTTATGATATGGCTTTGATAAATGTATTCTGCTAAGACTAGAAAACAATCTATTTTGATGCACGATCGTGGAGAAGAAGAATCAGATCAGCTATCGCCTGTTTCGAAGAGGTAAACTAAAGAATGGCAAGGTCTTCCCCAAAATTATAATAGCACCAGTTACGTGTTTCCTCTCTTTGAAAGTGGCAATATCAGAGTTGCTCAGTCGGTAAGGCTTCTAGTTCAGAACAGAGATGTCCCGAGTTTGGTCCTTGATCAGGCCACTCACCCTTCTTCCTTCTGAGGTAGATAAACAAGTATCACAATGTGGGAATGAAGTAAGAGAATACTCGCTATACTCGTCGCTATCCGTTCTGAAGCAAAATAAACAATACAATGCTAGCTTAGCAATTGAAGCAAGTATGGTTCAACCAGAAAGACGTAAACTGTGGAATCTGAAAGAAATTCGAATATCTTCTTATTCAAAGGGTAGGGGCAGAATTTTATAAGGTTATGCTGTACTCTGATGCAGCTGACAATTTCCACAATAGTGTCAAAGCTACGGAATCTTTCGCCTTTGAACGAGGCAGTTTTTCAACGTGAATGTCTGCTTGACAAACGATAAAATCGACATAAGCCTATTGAAAAACCGAAGCTGACTATAAAAGTCATTAAATGGAAACCCATCAGTGAAAGAGTAAATTTAGGCTGCAAGAAGTAAAAGTGATCTGTAAGATACTTAACGCATCTAATTACGAGGAGGAGCACGATACTTTCTTCGATGAGATAGGCGAATAACGGTACTCTCAACCATGTTCCTGATAGTGATTTCGTTATGCTGATGAAGGTCTTCAAAACACGTGTCGAAGTAGAAGTAGAAGAACTTCACTTCCGTATTAGGAAGGGCGTGACAAGGAAAAATTACCTGCCAAACTTAATAATAATGGCATTATGCGCTTCAGTGAAGGCAAGAGCGCCCATTATGAAGGTGTTGTTCAACCATTGAAACTTGTATGACTATACTTATTACTGCAATCATTTTGTACAAAAGCAGTGATCAGTCTCATTGTATTAACTGAACTATTACAACAGAATCAAGGGGAGGCCGTATCGTTTGTGGACGTGGTGAAATAACTGATTATAAACCTGTTGATAAAGGCAGGTGCGTTAATTAAACAGGAGGCCTTTAAAGGCGCATTACTATGAGTCTCCTGAGTTTCGGGTATGAAGCATATCTGATTGGCTCTTACAGTCAGAAACAAACTTCCTAGCGGATACCGGAGGTTCAAGTTAACGATTACCCCAAGAATGGCTTGAATGAAAATGACTCAGTTCGACAGCGTTACAGAGCAGAGCAACAAATGACTGTAAAAAATGGGTAAAGCAGAAGTTGACACAGTAAAAATTCCGTGAGGAAGTAGACTCAGATTACCGAACAGCAAAGTGTTCTGGCACGCTACGCTTCGCCTTCAAGACGGAAAGAAAGATTGTCTAAGAAGCCTGAGTGATTAGCATGGACACTCTTTTACTAAGAGAGTACTTTGTGGAGTATGTGAATGCTTAGAAAAGATTGTCCACTCTGCGCATGGCACTTGCCTCTTTTGATGCATTCAGAATCAAAAATTAATCGCAGCTGAAGTCACGGATTCGGCGAAGTCGCTGAAAAGTGACAAGACTGTAGAAGTTGATAAAACTCACTTAAGGTGCATAAAAGAGTAGGTGACAGAGACAAAAGCACGTGTATGACACACTGAATTACTACGGGCAAAACACCAGCAGACAAGCAGGCAGATGTCATGGTTCAAAAGACAGAAAACTTCCAAACCTATAGTTACCTGGGTGTTGTTCAGCTGAGCAACGCTGGAAAACTTTTTGCCAAGGTGCATGAATAAAGTTTCCATGAAATAGTCGACTCCAAAATCTTAAACAAACTGCGTTACTTTCGCTTCGGCTGAAGTACAGTTGATCAGATTTTCGCCATACGAGAAATTGGTGAGAAATTTTGGGAGTTCGTTCTTTCGGTGATAATAAAAAAAGTGAGTTCCCCGTAATTGCTTATGGTTGTGCGTGCTGGAGTACGGCGTCTATGCGAGCTATTACGGCAACTGAATCGCTCTATTCTTATCCCGAAAGCTGTGCTGGAGTCAACGACAGCTGAGCGAGGCCGTTCACTGCTAACGCTTGTCTCCATCAAGAATACGTAATGCCTCTGCTCTGTTCAATTTGTACATTGGTAGAATCATCATGCATATCCAAAGAAATGAGTGTATCAAAGCAACCTATGTTGAAGCGATGAGTTTGCAGATGATCTGGTACCATATCCTATGTGTATCCTCTGCAGCTAATCTGTGGATTACCATCGAAGATTGGCAGCTGACTAAAAATCAGTATACAGCGTAAATATAAATTGACAAAAGTGATAACGGCAAAAATTGCCTTTCTGAAGAATTCACAGGGTTCATATGTTTCGGTAGAGTTCGCTGCGCGCGATCCGGGAAGTTATAAGAACCGACTCACTACTTGCTATGACTGAGAGGACGCAATTACGATAATTGACGTTTTTTTGTGAATGCGGTAAGGGCTATGATAATGCAGCTATTCTTTGCTCGAACGTCACTCAGAAGATTGCAAGAAAGGGCTATGATTGCTTGCGGCATGTGTTCCAATGAGCTTATCTTCAGCTTCGAGGCGTCCCTCACCCACAATCATGCCCTC